TACCAAAGAGCATTAGTAATGATTCTTAGCATTTTGTTTTGAAAGTATTCGATTAATTCTTATTGGAGGCAGACGTACACCCCCATAGTTGTGATCCATATGTCCAACAGGTGGCAATACCTGCTTGTATACCATTAACATGATTTTATTTTAGTATAAAAGAGAAAAGTAGATCGCGTGGGACTTGATACGGATGTTAATTAGTAGAAGTGAGAAGTTGTGTATGAACCACTACTTCATATAATTCTTATTAACAAAAAGAGCTCAATATTTCTTATTATGGAACTCTTACATACCTTATTAGGTTCCAAAACTTCAAAAAAATATTGGTTTTAAATCTAACAAAAAAAAAACAGTTTAACAATTCAACAAAAAAAAAGAAACCAAATGCTTGTATACTTCTTAAAATAATTATATCTTTAATCTGACAAATCGTAACTGTATCTTTACGATATTTGTATCAATCATTTGTGTCACTTATAATTTCATTGAAATATTATTATAAGTAATAAGGAACTCAACACAAGTATGTACAAGAATGTCCTCATTAATAGCTGGCATACGCCTCAAATGTATATAATATTTTGTGTTACTTAAAAAATATAACAAACTCAAGTAATCGGATATTCTTCTTCTTCATATCCGATGCAACATATACGTACATTAAAATTAATGCAACTCTAAGGTTGCTGGCAACCGCCTCAAATAACCTCAATATATTATCGAATACTTACTGAAAATATACAATAAACTTCATGAGAATTATAAATCCATATTGATGAAATTTTATGTAATTTCTTTATATTGTGATACATTTTTTGCAATAACTTAGAAATTATAAGATGATTGATTGCTTACGGTAGCAATATTTATTATTTTAGTAAAATTCTGACATCATACTTCACTATCATATTTAAGAATTAAATATGATGAATTAAAATAAAACTGAAAAATCGTCCTTAAGTGACACATTTTCCTACTACCTTATAAATGAAACAAAACTAGGTAATTTAACTATATAAATCAAGTCGAAATTTCATATCTTTAGTTTCATTATAACATTTGTATGAGGAAAGAGAATAGAACTTCTAAGAAAACATTAAAAATTTTTTGAAAATTATCAGTCAAGGATAACAAAAACCTAATGTACATGCAAAAACAGAGATGTTTTTGCTTTCATTTTCTTCCAGCTACTTTTTAAGTTAATCAAATTTAAGCGTACATAAATTAGAATTTATGATAATGATTTCAAATAACTTAATTAACGAAATTTCATTTGCATATAAAATAGTAAGAAATCCACAAATCAAAAGCAAAAACCATCATACATACATTCCTATATCAAAGTGAAATTCATTACATCCATTTGCTATGATGATATATGATTATGTATACATGTATGCATGTATACACCTATATGTATGTAAGTAAATATATTTACCCTTACTCGTAGAAGATAATTCAATTACTTTTTCGCTTTTTATGCAAACCAAAGAACGATAGCGATTTATTGAAATTGCCATATGTGTGATGGCGAACAAAGGCGAACCCAGCGCTGTTTCTAAGAAATCCTTGTTAATGCTGTTTTAAGGACTTGCTATTCCATTTCACTTTTTTTGTCTCTGTGTATATATAATGTGTGACTCAATTTGTTTCTACTGGTACCAGTGTTGGCGTTGTGTGTTTTTTCTACACCTAATTTGAATAATGATAATCTCGCTAATCTGTTCCCCAACACTCTCTGCTAGACTAGTCTCAAGGCGGTGGCAGCGGTAATGCCAGATTTATTAAATTGCAAAACACGCACGAAATTCAATGACAATGACGACACTTTTAAGTAATAACTTTTCTATTTTTACTACTTCTTCTTTTTCATTGTCCTTTTCTTTTAACAGAAAAACCTTTAATCAGTGTCAGATTGAGATTCCTTAAGCCAGTAGGTAGTTTGTCTGAGTACGTGAACTGGAAGTCTAAAATAAATCGAGATTTTTAACCTATGGATGCAATTGTTGAGAATAAAACTAATTAAATGCAATAATATGTGTAGTGAATAGAAAATAATCAAGAAATTAATTCTGAAGGATTTTTAAACTTCTTTATAATTAAATTAGTATATTGATCCTTTTTTCGACTCAGTGCAACTGGGCACTTTTACTCTTTGATACCTGGGGGTATACGACTAATAGAAAAGTATTTAAAATTAATAAAAACCAGTTGCGAGTCAGTAAGTTATTAGCTGAACTTCCTTGGATTTTTGAAAATCATAGCGTTATAAGCAATTTATCTAATTTCCGCAAATATTATTGAAAATCATGCTGATAAGAACTATGTACCTAAGTTCTGAGAATCATACTAGTAGTAACTATTTATCTAACTTCCCTTGTGTTTACTGCATAAGGTAAAATGAAAAAAACTGAAAAACTGTTGTGATGTGCCTAACCCCTTTTATTAATGTAAAAATTTTCTTTAATGCAACTTTCAAGGATTTCTAAGAGTTTATTTTATGAAAATTATTTATTGCAGACAAACTGAAAATGTTTTCTTGTTACTTTTTCTCCAAATCCCCAACTGTTTAAAATCATCAAGAAAAGAGTGATATAATTATTTTATTCAAAACTACGAACAACTACACATAAAATAGAAAGTTTATTGGATATTGTTTCAAGGATTGTGAGAAAGTTTGTCCACAAACGAACACAGTTGAATATCTTATTCATGCTGAAAGCTGCACCTAGCATTTTGTTTTGGAAAATCTCATAATGGTGAATGTGAATATTTTCATAATCACTGTGAAAAGCATACAAAGAGTTTAGTCTGTGAACGACAGAAAGACCTTAATTCCGCTAGACGCAAAAAAGTAACATCCAATTATGTGAAAACACTAAATTGTAGATTACGACCAGCTGTCATCGCATATCGACCACCTTCAAACAGAATCGAAAATGCATGTTATAAAAGAGCACAACCAACTGCAGGCTGTCCAACCAACACCTTCTTCCGTGCCACAATTATTGACAACCATGTTCAGTAGATTCCTCCCTTCAAGATCATAAATACATCGATAGCTTGTGCAATGGAGCTAACGTCACTTAGGTCGAATGTAAGCGTATTCTAACAACCGTATTTAATTCACTTTTTTTTTTTTAGCCTATTTCATCCATTCACTCCGAGCCACTACTAGATATGATAAAGTAACTTATGTCTAAATATAACCCGAAAGTTTTTATTTAAACCGAATATACTCATTTTTTCGTTCTTACGGTTAGTGATATTATCAGTGTTGAATATATCAAATTAAAACCAATAGCTGAGTTTTAACAAGTCCAACTTGGGTACGTAGTTGGCACATGAAAATTTTGTTGTAGAATTGAATTTTTTTTACAAATCCACTAAAAAATCAACAAAAAGTGATTCGTAAATGTCGAAACTGTAGCATATGAGTGGTAAAAGGCTTTCAAAGCGGATCATCAAGTTATCAAAAACTTGCCGTATGTTCGTAATCTATTCATAGCAATTAACGAAAAAAATCGAGATATTGTGTATAAAGATTTCCATTCAGCAGAACAACAAACATTGGGCGTATTGCATCATTTAAGCAAGGATATTTGTCGAAAAAGCCGAAATTGTAGCAAAACAACTCATGGTATTTTCACCTCTGTAATGTACCTACTACCACACATCTCGTCTTGTGTGTGATTATTGCACCAAAAACAACATCAATATTCCACAATACCCATATTCAACTGATATGGCAACTGTCGACTTTTTTTGAAACCTAGACTCGAATAACTACATAAGGGAAAGCGTTTGTTTTTGAGTCCATAAAACATAATTCGCTAGTAGCCATAGTTCTGTCAGGCTATGAAAAGTAATTTGAAGATTTGAATTCACTAATTATTCCCCTTTTAAGAAGATTTCCAAAAATTCATTACATGGAAACTTCATTACAGTAATCAGGGTAGAGAGATGCCAGCGAGAAACTGAACACTTAGTGAACTAGGTTTACCTAAGGAAATAATGGTCGTGATCGTCTAGTGGTAAGAACCCTACGTTGTAATTTGAGGACTGAACAAATCGTTGGCATATGTATAACATCTTGAATAGAGATTATTTTTAAGGTGAATATAAGAAATATTCAAAAATAAATTAAATTGTTGTTTAATTTTAAAATTCTGGATAGCATTTAAACATAAGATTTTATAATAAACCAAAATAACTAGACTTCAGTAACTACTATTGAAGAGTATCTATCTGCTTAAAACTGACATAAATTTGTACTTTTATTAAAGCATTTATTTTATGTGCAAACTTGGATTTGTTATATACATACTTCAAAAAATAATTTATTCAAAAATAATTATTTAAAGTAATGAACAAAATAGTCTAGATCTCTAGATTGCTAGAAAAGTGTATAGACAGGGAATAGGATTTATTGCATGGGTACAGGATTGGCAATGGTTAAGTCAATAATAAAGCTTTCAGTGTATGACAGGGAAAACGAATTTACATTTGCATTACAAGCTTTCAATTGCCAATGACAAATATTATAAATATGTAGTATCGATATACATATAAGCGTATATATATACTTATATTTATTTAGCGCAAAAAAAAAATAATTTAAACAAAACCAAAAAATTCTCAAATAAATCAATATAATAAATAAAAAATGCAAGTGAAGAGACAGGAAAATCCTGTCTTCCATCAAAGTAATACGACATTTGGCACAATTTTCTTATTAATTTCAACTTTTTTTTATTCTTTGGAGTCTAAGGCAATAGAAATGACCATAAGCAAGTGGATTTTGGCCTATACAAGTATGTCAATGTTGGCTGACATTATTGTCTTTTATCTTCAGACATTTATATTATATAAAATAAAACAAATGGTCAACATGAATATTTCTAATTTTTCTAATTTTTTCTTAGTTTTTTTTTTGGCAAACATAAATATTAAATAATATAGATTTAATATTTTTGTTTCATTTGGAGAGCAAACATAAAACAAACAATGTCAACAGAATATTGTTTACATAAATTTGGGTGAAGGATTTCAACTAAAAAACTATTGACATATTTTTGCATTCATTTACATCAATATTAGCTGAATGACCGACCGACCCTTTTATCAAATGAAAACGTTTTGATTATTTATGAAAAAATTTAAAATTCTAAAAATAATAAGAAAAAAGAAAATAGAAAATAGAAAATAATTTTATTATTTCACATCCATTTTTTCTTTTTTTTTTTCTATCTTAAATAGAACACAAGAGGAGCGCAACATGGATGACAAATTGGTATCAGATGAAGTGCATTTACGCAACTTCAGCCAATCGCCACTAACACAGCAACGACGTTTAAGTACAAATTCGAATGCCACTAAGACAACAAGTCAAAAGGATGCCCCCAACAATACAACTCCCCTCTCAAGACGACGGTGTTCAGGTGGCAGCGCTGTGGTCTTAGGAAACGGAACCGACAATTTTTCACCGTCTGCAACGCACAAAAGTATTGAGCAAAACGGAAATGAATTTCTGAACACCGAAAGGGTAAAAAACGTGGCGGATGATGTTGTTGATTTCATTGAAGATGACGATGATGAAAATGTGGATGAAGATAATCTCGATAACGATGCAGTTGGTGGTTTAAGTAATCCTGCAGCACAAATAAATGACAACGATGATTCCAAAGATGCACAAAGCGTTAATACGGACAATATGAAGGTAGGTCAGCAAGGACTTGCTAACCTGTTAAGAAGATTAATACAGTTGTATGTAACATATGAGATGAACAATTTTTTTTAAATAGAATACTTGTAAAATATAAAAGCAATCCAAGATATAGAATCTGTAGTACTTTTTGCTTAAACCGAACATGAAAGGGACGAAAAAAATTATTCCCTTTTAGTAAAATTTTTACGAAAAAGTGAGAACCTTTATAAGAGTATTACTTATTATGGTAAAATGCACTGCTTCTGATGTGGTAAGGCGTCACCCAAATTTCATATGAATGCGTTTATTTTAAGCAAAAAGTAATATATTTAATTATTTTAACCAGAAATTCCAAACACATTTGAATGAGTCTAGCACGTAGAAAATTCCTTGTATTTAGCTAATTACTAGGAATCATCCTACAAATTAATGTCCTCATATTAGGAATCAAGTTGGAAAATGAAATCAATTCTTACTTATGAATTTCGTCAGGACAGAACACTTCAAAGTAGTGACGTCAGCTGCTTATATATGAAACCTAATTCTTGAGATAAGTAGGTGGTCTTATACTTTCGACAAGCTTCGCTATAATGCAAAGTTAATTAAAATAAACTCCACTACACAATTTTCAATTATTTCTTCAAAAAGGAGGTATTGGAGCAAAAAATATAGTTATTAAACTCCAATGGAATGAAGATTTAATGATTTGATTTCAAAATCGTGCCAGTTTAAGACAATTAGGTAACCATAACTGAAACTATAGTATCTATAGATAGATAGATAGATTACTTAAATAATGTTAAGAAGAAAATAGTGTCCGATAGAAGGAAAATGCAGATTACCATAACCGTAACATCATAATATATATTGAATCTGAAAGATTGTGTGCTTATAGAACAGCGAATTAAAAGAAGAAAGATGAAGTGAAAAGAAGAACATGGCTTTTAAAAAAAGAATGATTTGATGCAATATATGCTGATTTAAGAGTCTTAAGAAAATAATTTTTGAGAAGAAAGGCGCCGGATAATTAGCAATGGGGAGAATACATGGATAATGCCTAAATGAAAAACAAATGTATATAAAATAATTAATATAATTTTTTTAATAAATAGACTAAATTTCAATATAGATTATATACATCTATGATAGTAGAATTGATAAAAAATATATATATTTGTATTCCTATATATATACGTATTAGAAGTTTATTTCACATGCATGTATACTTTTATTTGGTAAAATTAATTATTTTTTTTATTTTATATTATATTTATTTATTAATTTTTTTTTTTTAGAACACATGATTTATATATAAAATTTTATTTATTTATTTCTTTGTATATATACGAAATAATTTATTATTAATAAATTATTTATTAATTATTAATAAATTTTGGTTTTTTATTTATTTATTTATTTATAAACTTTTTATTATTTTTTTTTTTTTTTTTGAACATATTAATATATAAAATTTTATTTATTTATTTTTTAAAATTACAAAAATAATTTAATATTTCTTCTTTTAATAATTTTTTTAATTACTTACACTTTTTAAATTTATTTTTCATATGTTATTCAATTTTTTATTATTTTTAATTTTTATTTTAATATTTTATTATTTATTATTTATTATTTTTTAATAAATTTTTAATTTAACAACAATTTTTTAATTATAGTTATATCTTCCTTTAATAAAAAATCGTAATATAAAAAAATTTTAAAATCACATTTGCCATGTTAAAAAATCCCACGCCTATAATTACTTTTATTAATTTTTCATTTTATTTATATTTGTTCATATTCATTTTTTATATTAATTATTATTTATATTATTTTAATATAAATATGTGAAAAATCGCACGCCTATAATTATTTTTATTTTTATATATTTTTATATATGTTAATATGTTTTTTTTTATATTACTTTATTATTTACATTATTTTAATTTATATTGAAATCATTTATAAAAAACAATTTGATTATAATTTTTTTACTAATAGTTTTATTTTAGATTAACAAAAAAGCTTTAATTTAAAATATTTTTAAATTAATCTCGCACACCGGAAAAATCTTACGCCTATAATTATTTTAACTTTTTTAATTTATTTATATTTATTTTTTATTTTACATTATTATTTATATTATATTGTTTTATATTAAAATCATTATAAAAAAAAATTTTTTAATGTAATTATAATTTTTTTATTAGTAGTTTTATATTAAATTGACAAAATCCTCTTAATTTTAAATTTTTTTTAATTACTCTCACACACAATAAAAAAACCAGGCAGCAGATATGTCAAAAATCCCACGCCTACCTGGTGATGGTGCACAAATGGAAGATGAGTTGCCTTCATCCTTGCGTGCCTCTACAATGACAATCTCATCAAATTTACGCAAATTAAATGCTAGTGGCTTTAGTGGTGCTGGCCATCCAGGGGCCGGAAGTGGCAACAGTTCGAAAAATGCACCTTTGCGTGTACAATCCGTACGCATTGTCGAGGATAAAAAGCGATACGCACCCAAGAGACGCACAGAAAGTTGCAGTATTTTTGGTAATAGCAATTTTGGTAAGTCCTCTTTTTTCCATTTCGAAGTCCTTCAATTATAGCTTTTTTCCAATCGAAATCAATTGAATTTCCTTCGACCAGACGCTAACATGGAGGATGGCTTTGCACCGCAAATACGTCCACTTAACAATGAAACATATTCAGCTTTTAAGAGTGCCAATGTTGTGAAAGGCATATTGTGTCCTTCATTGACAAATTCCTTCAAGCAGCAATCATTGGAGCGGTCATATTTGACATATACACACCGACAACGTCAGAAATCCCTCATTATTGTCAATTTAGTTGATTTCGTATTGAAAGTTGCGCTCGCTTTAATTTGGTTCCTGAGAGAAGTCGACACAGAGATTGTCTTGGTAAGAATGACTGTAACCATAAGCCATTTTATTTCATTATTTGTTTGCTATTTCCTTTTTAATTGTAATACAGATACACTGTTATACAGATACATAGATACTTAGTAAATATATATTAAACTTGTATATTTTCTTTATGTTCTGTGTAGTTACTCCTGGACAACTTCCTAGTTGTCATGTCTCTATGTCTATTTGCCGTTTGAGTGTTATTTACACTTAATATCCGTAATTACATTTGTTTTCTTATCTATTTTTGGTTTATGACCGTCTCAGGAAGTCAACCTTGCCACATCAATTACTTGGTCCATTTGTTGTATTGTCGCAAATATGGGTATTTGTGTCCTGGGCTACTGGCGTTGCTTTGCAAATAATTACCTGCACTGGGCTGCAGTGTGCACGTGGATTCTATTTAATATTCAAGGTAAGGCAATGCAGTTACATAAATTGCACCTCAAATGTTAAAATGGCTTATGTATCGTAATTGAGTTTTATCTAAAACCAGATAATGTATTGTTTGATTATTAATTTAATTGCAACTCGTAGTACATTTTATGATGATGAAGGTAATTTTCGCAAATATAATAGTAATGTTAACATATATAACTTTTTTGTACAGAATATTGTCACAGAATAATTGACCACACCTTAAATTCCTTTTAGAAAACTCAATTCAGTCAAGAAGATTCTTCAATTTATATAGGATGTGATTCTTTAAAAATCAAATAAAAAATAATGACTAATGGCAGTTAAACTTGACTATGACAATTTGTACTATATTAAAAGAAACATAAGTGTCTTTAGAAATGTTTTTTTTTGAAAATTGGAAAGGAGATATATAAAAACGAATATATGATCTATATTATATAAAATCAAAATGAGATATCTGAAAAATAATCTCGTTTTGTAAAAGTTCATGAAAGAAATTTAAAAGAATGAAATTAAGCCGGTACAGTAATTACTTGACATTGCCTCCTTTCAGATTTTCCTATTCCGAATTTGTGGAACAAAACTGACTAAATCACAAAGTAATCACATGAGTTTTTCTATTCCCAAAAATAATAATTCTTCCGAATTTGTGAAAAAAAACTGAAGAAATGTCGTGGAATTAAAACAATTGTGACCTGACATGAACCCGAAAATAAAATCACGCTTTACTTCGTTTACAGAAAAATCGAATGATTTTTTCCTTTTCCCACATAGAAAAAGGTAATGAATTTTGAAAGATATATCCAAATCAAGTTGTAAAAATATATTTTGAAGATTTGGCCAAGTGCTGCAAGAGTTTTAAGAAACATTGAAGGCACTTTGTAAATAATTTTTAAAAAAACTAAAAATTAAATCTGTGTCAAAAGAGTATACATGTATATACCATCTATGTAAAAAAATATCGGGAATTTTTAATTAAAGTTATTTCGCGTTTCGTTAGAGTTTTTGGAAGACAACTCAACGAATAGAATTGAAACACCATCTTAGTACTTGATATAGTCCCCTGTAACTTTTTTCTTTTCCCAAAAATAAAATAATCACTTCCAAAAAAAAAATGCTTGCGGTTGATAAATGAAAAATTATGGAATAAATATTACAGTTCATACCTAAATCAATCGCGGAAATACGTATTGGGAATTGGTCCAATTGTGACCATAGCAGTAACAAACTTAGAGGATTATTTTGTAAATGATTTTTCATTTAATAGATAGAGAGATATGTTAAACTAGAAGATACTTTATATATTCTGTATAAAAACTATTCAGAATTAGCAAATATCGAGATTTTCAAAGTAAAATCTAGCTTTAAATCTCTATGCTCCAAATTAAACACCCTCGTAGCTGTTTCTTCTGCTTGTGCATCAGTGTCGGGCATACTTTTAGCATATGGTATGTGGTTTTTCTCTTTTCTCTACAGTATCTAAAGTCTGAGTTGGATTGGATTCCTAACTTTGTTAGGTGATTATTAAATCTACACTGACCGGTTAGTATTCCCGTAATAATTCTTAAGTTATTATTTGTTAGTTCTATGTAATCCCTGAAACGTTTTAAGTTGTAAGACCCTAAAAGCATTTTAGTATGTGATAGTCTTAGCAACCCTTCCCAATATAGTTCTCTCTCCTTTTCCTGTACAATGTTCATAAGAAGGAATAGTGTTCCTTTGCCTAGACCGCGTATCGAAAGATTACGAGATATATCTGGGCCTATCATCATTGAAGCTGCGTCTCTTCTTGCGAATTTGTCTGCAACTTCACTGCCTTAGATAACAACATGCCCCAGAATACATATCAAGTACACTTAATTCTTCCATTCAGATATGATCAGCTTGTCATACCTGGACAAGCACTCCTAAATCAGCCGAGACCAAACCTATATCAATCTTGTAAAAATGTGTTCTGGATTGGATGAAGAATTATCATACTTGTTTTTCACTTAATAGGATCTACTTTAAATTCGATAAAAAAAATTTTGTTTAATTACACATTTTTTGTCTAATGTATTTAATAATAATGAATAATTTATATTCTGTACATATATCTACACTTTCCACCTTTTTCAAAAAAGTGACAATGTTATACTTTAAAAACGTGATTCCAAATCGTTTTGTATAAGGAGTTATGGATCTACGGTTGCAAAATTTTAAAAATATTATTAACATATTGAGTTAAAATATTAAACGAAATATTAATTTGTTTTCAACTATTCATGGATCCAAGTAAAATATCGTCCTGCATTTTGTTTACTTATTTATAGTTTATTAATTAGTTTTAAAATTTCAAAACTAGTTAAGGTTTTTACCAAGAACTAATTATACTATTTTTATATCATACTTTTGATTGAAGTAGTCGAAGCTGAAAATTAAAATCCTTGAAGTATTTTCATGACTTTTTGCAAATTACATGTCATTATCATGCTTTATCATACTTCCTCAACAACAGTCAATTTAATTTGCTGTATTTTATATTGCAATTTACTTCCTTTCAGGATTCGTTGGCAAAGGAGTTGGCTTCGCCGATCGCGAATACCTCGTTTGGTATATACTTTTTGTTATATTTGTGCCGTACGCAATGTTGCCGCTGCCGCTGAAGTGGTGCGTCGTTGGTGGCACCATAACAGCCAGCTGTCATCTGGCCGTAATTACAATAATTAAATTACAGAACCAGGAAGTAAGTTTGTTGCTATGAGCTGCTATACCAACTCGTAAAAAACTTTATAAACAATTTACTATGCTAACAATCAATGATTTCCCCTTTATGTACTGCTCTTGTCTAATATCCTTAATTTACATTGTACCATAATGTCCTTGTCTTGTATCTACTAACTTACGAAGTTTCTTTGTTTTTGTTTTTGTTTTTGTTTATATTTGCCTTTTGTTTAGAAATCGAACTGCATTTTATTTCAAATATTTGCCAACTTTATGCTTTATACGGCAATAAACGTAGCTGGGATGTACACCAAGTATTTAACCGACAGAGGTCAACGCTTGGCATTTATTGAGACGCACAAAGCCATGGAACATAAAAAGGAATCAGAGAAGGAACTACAAAGGACACAAAAACTTTTGGACTCAAGTAAGTTAAGTTATTTTTATTACGATTTGCAAAATTATATATTTTACTTGTAAGTAGTTTTTTTAGAGAGGTTTCGTATTATTAGAGAGTTTTTCCATTTAAAGTATATCTATTTAGTATTTCATACGTGAATGAGTATCTTGTGTTGTTATTTGAAGTTTTTAATTTACTACGAATGACGTACGAAAGTGCATTTTAATGTCATTTCATGTTAATGTAAACAAACAACGTCATTTTCAGTTCTGCCCAACATTGTCAACAACCAGATTCGCACGGAAATGTACAAAGGCACCGATCCGATGGTGGAGACACAATTCAATAAACTCTACGTGTACCCGATGCACAACGTCAGTATTCTGTTCGCGGACATCAAGGTGAGTTTGCTTATGCAGGAGTTAAGTAAATAACACATATAAGGCGTGTTAACAAAAGAAGGAGCATTTGTTTTAAATTTATTATTCTGCCCTACATGTGCTCGGAATAATACTCGTACTTTAAATTTATTTCAGGAATGATTATAGATTTTATTGCAAGGTATAATGTGATTACAACTTTACATAGTCGTAGCAGACAGCGACTTAATATATTTTAGGAATAACATTCAAAAAAAGTTAATCCAAAAGAAAATATTTCAGTAGATGGAGTTTATTTCAGGAATTGCAATTCAATGAAATTATTCACTAAGAATTTATTGCAATAAATTGACTGTTAAGTGACTTTAACTAAAAGGATTCAGAAAAATAGGTTTTAGAAATATTCCACAGTTAAAAAATTTCTATTATTACATATCATAACATATGAGAGACTTGGTTTTTAAATCTGATATGGACGCTCCAAGCAAAACGTTCTTATTAAATTGGCTATTACAGACGCAAGTCGTCCTTGATCGCGCCCAGTAACCTCTGCCAACCAGTCCGAACAGTGACTTCCTCTCGCCAAGAGCCCCTAAATTGTTTGTCACCTGGTCCTTTCGTCGAAGATGCGGACGTCGTTTACCGCGTTTTCCACTTTCGAGTACCAAATCAAACACCTTTCTAGTTAGAATACTTTATTTTATTCGCACGACATAACCAAACCAGCGAAGCCGCTGAACTTTTATATTCAAGAACAGCACGAAACCCAAAAAACCAAATTAAAATTGCTTGGAAATCCAGGTCAAGCTGACAGTTTTCAATAATTCAGATATAATCCACTCCCACTTTCAAAAAAGCAAAAAAAGATTAACAAAAACTGTTTTTGAGGGTATGAAGTGTTTTAATAGAAATACCTACCGAAAATAAGCAGATTACTCAAAGGCTAAATTATAGGGTTTGCACAATGAAAAAGCAGCATCGCACGAAGCCATTGTTATTCAAAAGTTTTTGGCGAAAAAAATCAAATCAAATTTATTTGTCAAATACAGTACTCCCTAATATGTCTTCGTCTAACTTTTTTCATTTCTCAAATTTCTAATTGCCACTTAAATGAAGCCGTTACGAGTTAGTTGCGGCTACAAAAGATAATTTGCTAAAATAGTTCAGTGCAGTATCTTGATCAACCAACAAGAAATATATAAAGAATTAAGTATATCATATCATGGCACTCGATGATGTCACCGGAATGAAATATGTGGTGGATTAAATAAATCATGGCACTTGATGAGGTGACCGAATTGAAATTTGTGGAGAATAATGGTAATCATGGCACTCGATGAGGCCAACGGAATAAAATATATGGAAAATTGAGTTAATCAATGTGTAGACTCATTATGTTGAGTATGGCATTCGATGGGTCACCGATTAAATTTGTTAAGAATTGAATTAATCATAGCGCTGAGTTCGGGCACCAGATCTAAATATGTGGAGGATTGAATTAATTCGATGGGATCACCAGAATATTGGCATTCGTTGGTGTCACCGTATTGGAATTTGTGAAGAATTGACTTAATTATAGTACTTAAGTCACTGAAATGAAATATGGGGGTGAATGAGTTAATAATAACTCTCAAAGGGTAGTCACCGGAATAAAATATATGCCAGATTGAGTTAACTCAGCACATAATGGTGTCACCAGAATGAAATATGTGGCGGATTTGATTAAATATATTTCATCTACTTTATCTAATAATTCTAGATACTTTGTACTTCAAATTATTTCGATCAGTTTCATGTATTCACAGATAAGTAATAGTGTAATGATATAAGGAGAAATCGATCTAATGAGGCCAATGTAGACAAGGAGGAATGCCTTTTTTATTGAAAGCAGTTATGCTTTGTTAATTGGAAAGACGATCACATGACGCCGGAATATTCAGGTTAGGTTGGATTAAATTATTTTGGCGACACTAAGGATTCACTTAGGTGTATTAACTCACTGCGTTGCAGTATAAGAACTGAGGGGCTTAAATTTTTTGAATCTTTAAATTTTTAGCAAAAATCAAAATGTGTGTTAACAAGAAACTTCTGGAAATGGACATGTTCCTTAAAAAAGTAAGCCCGTACCATAGTCAATCGACGCATAAACTGGGCAGTAACAAAAAATATGTGAGACACTCTTGTCGTTCTCCCTACAACTAAATTAGAAGTGGCGGTATATTCAATTCTATGACATGGTTCCCTAAATAGATGTGAAGTATAAACAATTCAACCACAAAACTGAGATTTTAAGAAAACATCTTAATAAGATTGCTAGACTTTTTCGTAAGAGAACGCTACCATCTTGTGTACAGAAGCCTGCATATCCATGACTATACCCACCTTCTATTAAATTACTCAATAAAAAAAAAAGTCGTAGCATTATGCCTTAATTTTTCAAATGTATCGCAATATTATCTAAAGCACCTTGTCTAGCTTGCAGTTGCCGAAAACATCGCTATGATTCAGAGTAGAGAAATATTAAATCGTGTCGAAATCTCATTCAGGAATGTGTAGCAATCAAAATACTGTTCCGGATGTGAATTGGACTAGACTCAGTGACTATTTGATAGCATACGTATATTTCGATCCCATATATTACTCACGTCTAGACAAGCTATAGCTTTCAAAATAGCAATCTCTTCCGCCTAATAAACAGTGATCAGAAATTCTTTAATATATACATTTATTGATTCCCTCCAAGTAAATCCTTTGCCTGCTCCACTACCTGCTCTACTACCTATCGTCAGTATAAATGATTAAACTCTCTTCTAAAAAGGGATCTCCCAACAACTAGGTATCTCCAGATGGAAAATTGATGAAAGAGATATTCATGAAAGACAATGTATATAGAAAAAATTATATTTATAATATTTAAGATAAATATATAAGAGTGTTGTTAATTAAGTTTGTCTAGTATAATATTACGTACTTTGGCTATTATGGGGGTGCCCTACTGACCCTCATAGTTCTGAAACTTAGCAACGTATCTACTGATTTCAATAACTTTTAGAAGTAATATTTAAAAAATTTAGAATTTGAACTAGAAAACACAAATTATTTAAAAATAACTTGGTCAATCATATTCTTATTTTGACAGACATGTACATATATATATATATATATATTGTTTTGTAAGGTTACTAAACTTTTTTGGTACTCTTATTTCTTTTGACAGGGTTCACGGAATTGCCAACAAATATCATCAGCAAATGCAACTCGGAAAATCCTGAATGACCCTCTTTGCTCGCTTCGACTGAATCGCAAGAGTGAGTGATGGAATTTCACAAAAGACAGAAATAATAAATTTAATTATACATGTATAGCAACATCTACCTTAAACAAAACGCGCTTTATCGTGTGGCTAGGGTGCCACTTGATCGTTACAATTGATTACTCGGATCACTTCGCTGAAAATTTTTGCATTCAAAGGCTATACAGCAATTTAATACTTAAATACCAGACTATTTTTTCGAATTTTTAACACAATTAATCTCTGTATTCATCCCTTTTTTTTGTTGTTATATTAACAATTAAATATGTCAGAGTTTGTGTTCTAATATGCAAATCAAGGTGCAAAAAATTCACATTTTGGTTGTTATGAAAAAGCAAAATTTCAATTATAATTTGCATTTCTATTTCATGGGAAATTCAATTTTCACACCGAAAAAAATGCAGATGACACTAATCAAATGTGATATCTGCAATAAGTATGAAATATTTTAAATAGAAAAGAGATATATATATAAACTTAATAATATTTTGGCGCATATGACAATGATTATAGGACTTAGGTGCGTAGGATTCAAGTTTGTGGGACATAAGTTCGTATAATTTAGCACTTTTAGTTTTTGAATTTTTTCTAAATTTAAAAATCACATAAATAAAATAGAGTAAAAATAAAATAGAGTAAAAATGATATATGTATTTATATATATGTATGTCATATAATCGCAAAGTAGAACTAACAGGACATTGTAAACTAAAATACCACCTTACCAGTCTTGGTATATATACAGACGGAAACTGTATATTCTTCGAAGAGCATGAAGAGTCATCCATACAAGTGCTGTTAGAATGCCCGACGCTAATAAACACACGCGGTAAACTCCTTAAAACACACGGAATACCTTAATACCTTAAAGTACGTTCTCTACTACTTTTATCGACATCCGGAAGAATGCACAATAGACCTAGCAGTCGCAGTACCACAACACATATTAATAATAACAGTGTAAAAATATCAAACACTACAAATTTAATTTAAGGAATCCCTAAAAGTAGGCAATAAATTTTAAAATTAATGAAACTTCAATAGATCTTTAATATATCGAATAATGCTCGGAAAAATTGATATAACTCACTGCAATGCTGAAAAATACTTATTTAATATCATTTCTAATAGATGTGCCTTCTCAAAAAGGCATTACATGTATAGCCATATGTTTAGCATTGTATCAAAGATCTAGATAATAAGTCTAAACATTTTCTAATCTTTGATTTTTTGGAATTTGCAATTATAGCTATAAATACAATTCTGACTTTACTTAGTTGCGTTGATAAGTTCCAAATATAGCACAAAATTTGCATATTTTTTTACTTAAAACCCATTTTATCGTTCTTTAGAGTATATTCAACTATAAAATGAAGCATACTCAGTCTTATAAATTTCATCACTGCTTTTGCATCTTATTCTCTCCAAATGTCCAATGTTAAATTTTTTAAATTGCTTTACCGTTTTCTCCATAGCAAAATTCTCACATGTTATGTATGTATAGTGCGGTCACAATCATTAATTTTTCTTCGCTACTGAGATCGGTGCATAGTTGTTGGAGTATTTATCTAAAACTACTGTAGAAAACCCGAGATTATACTTTGTTAAGAGTTGGGTTGTCGACCCATGTGAGGTTAAGTAAATTATTTGAAAGGGTTTTTTAAAATATGCATTAGCCAATAATTTCTAGACACTTTGACAATTGTGAAATAATTTAATATTTAATATAAGGACCACTTCATTTTGGAACCTTTTGTTTATCACCCACTTTGATGTTAGTTAGCCATTAATGGTATTCACTTTGTTTTGGAAATACTGTTAGCTTCAGTGTTTTTTATGAAGCTTACGAAATCTGTTACTCCACTAAAGTGGAGTATGGTATTACTGAAACCTCTTGAGCATGTTAAAGTGACAGTTCTTCAAAAAGTCTGTTAAAGTTCGTTTCACTATTTTAATTCTTACTACCTTATTAAATTATTAAGATATTCAATACCTAATTTAGTTTAACAACAGTTGTAAGTCGTAAAATCCTATGTTGTCATTATATTGTAATATTATGACTTAACAGAAACTATTTTATTTAATAAGAAGGTTTTCGGAGCAGTTGTGAATTGTTGGAATTCACACTGTTCGAAAAACGTCTCTATGAAAATATTCCTATATTTTTAATAGATAGCAATTTTTTGAATATTTTTTAAAAATTTTTGTTTAAAATATTTGTAGCGTTTGACCTTCAGTTTCCCTTGTTTTTAGCTGCATTTTCAGTTAATGGATTAAAAAAAAAAACTTATTTCATATTTTTTATGCTAAAATAAAAGAAACTGCGTTCTTAAAAATTTGTATATAAAACGAAACACTTACCAATCTGGACATGTTCATCGTAACCCCACCATTTCACATTTTACATTACATTAAGTTTATGGGAGTATAAATTTTTTCTTATATGCAAATTATGAGCTATCGATGCAGCTCTGCTTCATTGGCTCCAACGTAAAGAAAACTCAATTTTAATATTAAAATCAACTTGAAAATGATTTATCATCCTATGTTTCCTTATTGCTTCAAGGATAATCACTGTTTACGGGTTAAATTGCTGGGCGATTGTTATTATTGCGTGTCCCAATTCGAGAGCGATAACTGGAAAACACGTCCGGATCATGCAGTTTGCAGTGTCGAGACAGGACTTCACATGATAAGAGCTATTAAAGATGTCAGACTGCACACGCATGTAAGTAAAAAAGAAAAGAGTTTTTATGTTAAAATAATAAATAAAATCAACACACACAAAAAATTGTGTGTAAATTCATTTTTTATTTATTACCTTTTAAATTTTTAAAATATTTTTCGGAATCGTTTGCATAAATACCCAAGCACCCATGTGTATGCATGTTATGGGCACAGTGGCCCAAAGGTGCTATATCATAAATATGTGCCATGTGTTGGTATATTTATACTAGATGGCATGTGTTCAGCTTTAGTGTGTGAATGAAATTCTGCATGCAAATTTTTAGCAATGCTTTGGGCTGCAATGAAATATTCAACAGATTTGAGTAAAAACCAAAGATTCATAAATTTTTATACCATTTCCTTTGCACTTTTGCCTTATATTTCATTTAATATTTTATATTTCCTTTAATAAATGCAGTATGACAGCTGAAAGCAAAGATTGTTTGTAAATCATTTGTATGCAAATGAACTAAATATCAATCAAAAGCAAAAAGGTCTTAATTTTTTACTCCTAAATAAACTATTTGGAAATTTAATAGTAATATTAAAAATGAATAATAATAAAGATATAAAACTAAAAGGAATACAGTATTGCATTATTATCTTATATATTTTTGCTCGAAATTACTGCACCTGCCTGCAACATAATAAAGTAACATAACTCATACGCTCTGTTGCACCAATAAAGTGCACAACAAAGTAGCGCTGACAAAGTGATAAACGGTAATGCTGGCAATGTGATATGAAATAAATAACAAAGCTCCAGAGTCAACCGTATTAGTACGTTTTGATGCGGGCCATTTTCTGTAAACAAACTGTCAATTTTACTCTTGTGGTCCTAAGTCCCATAAATTGAAACAGAATACATTTAACTAATCTATTCACCAATTTGTTTACATTTGAACATATATTTCATCCTTCTATATGTGTGCATATTCCTAATCCCTTTACAATTTTAATTACAGGTCGATTTAAATATGCGCATTGGCATCCATAGCGGTTCGGTTATGTGCGGCGTTTTGGGTAACAAAAAATGGCATTTTGATGTTTGGTCAAATGACGTTATAATTGCCAATCACATGGAATCCGGTGGCATACCAGGGTGAGTTTAATAATTTCGACAAACAATTAAATCGTGTTTATGTAGAATAATTGATAAATTGAAAAATGATATGAGAAAATGTGGCTGAAATAATTTCCATAATCATTACAATTAATTGCTTTTAAATAGGAAAGGGATGCAAAATACCTATAAAATAAATATAAAAAAAGTTTTTGGTAACTAATTGAAAAGTAAAAATACCGTAAAATCATAAATCATTATTATTAGAAAATAAAATATCACATCAACAACTTTTACTTACCCTTATCTCCCAGTGTACGGTAGCAAAACTTTGCCTACGCACAACTTAGGTTAGAAAGCTATGCTATTACTTAAACCAACCCACCAACCAACAGCTTGAACTAAAAGAATATTTTAGTTCTTATACTATAAAATATAATATAGAGTAGAGTGTTTTATACTTTAGTATAGTATTTTCGCTAGAAGCAATCCTATAAACTAATCTACATATTAGGACTATTATAAACACTTCAACAAGCTTTGATATTTAGACTCCAGTTCACATTGGTACCGTTTAAAGTTACTCACTTACTAAGTTGACCATTACAGACGTGAGTCGTTCTTGGCTGCGTCCAATATCCTCCGCCAGCCAGCCCGATCAGTAGCTTCCTGTCTTCTACCGCGTTTTCCACCTGCGGATACCGTAGAATTTTTCTCTCGAATGCTCCTTTTCATCACTGTTGGTAATTGTATAAGTTTTTGCAACACACAACAAGACAGACAAGAGACTTATAGAGCATAATTTTGATTTCTCGAGACAGACCTTTATTTCTCAGTTGTATGCTTAGCCCAAAGTAACAGCTGTTGGCAAGAGTTATTCTTCGTTGAATTTCTAGTCTAACGTCATTATTAGTGTTAACGCTGGAACCGAAATAAATTGCGCCCGCTGGAAGTGCTGAACCAATTTTCTAGCAATCATTAAATTTACAAAAATCAATATTAAATAGATAGGAAAAATAGTAGTAAAAAGTAAAAAAGAATTTAAATCAACTTAGAATGAAAAATCTATTAGCATTTAAACTTGATGAGTCGAAGAAGCTACTTGAGTGTCAGTATCATTTCATCCAATCCTTGAGATAATACACTAGAGCACGTACAGTTTGAGTTACTAATGTGAGTTCATATCTATTAAACTGAAAAGCATGTTAGCTTTTTTGTTGCTGATATACTATTTGATTTCTGTAGCCGTTTAATAGACAACTTCAACTTCGTCCTTTAAGGAAATTAAAAACATCCATCTCTGCAAACATGCCGGGTACTTTATTACAGTCCCTTTTCTTGAATCAAAGTATCCAGATAAGTTTTACTATATTTATACTGTCTAATTCTCACATAAAATTTGGATAAATTTGCATCAAGTAATTCGAAATTGTATTCGATATGAATATAGAATAGTGGTGCCCCTGCCAGCTACAGCCGAAGACAGATTTATGATCATTTTTTGCATCAGACTTCTTTTGCAACCAAATCAAAGGCTATATGGTGAACCCTTTTCAAATGTAGAACCACTGACTTCGTACATAGAAGCAAATCAGAAGTATCTAGTCTAATATCTGTTTAACAGGAAAGTGAACCATAGGACGGGTCTAAAATCAGCCTGTCCTGCAGTGTCTCTTGTATTACTTGTCTACCGGCGTTTGAAGAAAGAACACCAAAAAACCTGCTTTTCTAGCCTTCTAAACGTCTCCTAGTTTAGAAATTATTTTCTCATGGAAGTATTAACAATTATTCTGTTATTTATAGACTTATTTGGTAATTTGGCAAGTATTTCTTTTTCAGATGTCTAGTCTTTTTGATTCACTTTCACAAGTGCAAGTGACACTTCTTTAAGCATGTATATTTTTTTTCATATAAGAAATTATATTAATAAAACAAAATTCATTTTTCCTAAAACCTATCAAATTTAATTTACTACACTGAGAAAAATATGTTCTAATCTTATACTAATTAAATTGATCTAATCATTTTGTTAGAGCAAGTTTATCTCATGTGGTAGAGAAGATATAAAAAACCAACATGTGGTATGGTTGAACCAACATGATGTGTCGAGTAAGAATATTTCGACCTAAGATTTAGTTAAAATCTGGTTAAATCAATCAAATTATTTTTCTAAGTGTAGGTACATTTGATTGGATATTTACAACTTTATGTGGGTTGATTGTGAAGTAAATATAATTTTTTTGTTCCCACAAATTCATGATATATAATCCTTTTACAGTTACATTTTATTTAATTTTCTTCAATTTATTTACAACTTGAACTAAGTACCTTTCCTTTGAACCTTGAATATGTAGGTATATAATAAGGTGTGTAGCTTACAGCTTATAGTTCCATATTCTACTAGAATTACTTTAAACGTTAGTGTAAATAACATATGCATTTAAAGTATTATTTAGTAATCTAGATATATTTCGACATCAATTAATTTATGAATAAAACATTTGGGCAAATATTTGAAATTGATTCCAAAAGCCATTACACTCTTAAGTGCTTTCCATTTAATCTTAAATAGTTGAGAATAATTACAATTTAAAGAATTTAAGGTAATTGAAATTCATCAAATGATTCAAATAGAAACTCTTTGAAGATTATTCTGCAGTAAGAGACGTGTATTCGCATGTATCATGTATCTTGTATCTTGTATCTGTATCTTGTATCTGTATCTATATTTATGCATTTAAATGCCACAAGTGAAAATTCGTGTTGAGTTCTGTTCTGTATGAATAAATCTAACATTCTGTTCGACACTTTAGCAATTGTGGCTTTTAATTGAACATGAAATCGAGAGTGGTTGTGGAAAAGTTAAAAGCTACATAAAATCGATTCAAACGAGACAATTTAAAGTTTGTTATGCAAATATTTGATTTTAATTTACAGGCGTGTGCACATTTCGGAAGCAACACTTAAATGTCTAAATGACGCCTACGAAGTGGAACCAGGCAACGGCGGCAGCCGGGACAATCATCTCAAAATGCTGAACATCAAAACGTTCCTCATCAAACGCACTGAACCATTGAGGTGTGCTATGTACTCGTACTCGTACTCGTACTTATATTTCTAACTGAATAAAAACATCACAACAACAACAACAGCAACAACAATAACATTATTATTGCTAGTTTAATTTAACTGTCAATAATTTTGTTAGAGTTGAACGAACAGAAAAACACTTTTCCATTTCAATTAAATTTTAATACTTTTTTTCTGTAATTTGTTTTTGCTTGTTTAGAAATTTCTCCATGTTTATGTTTCTATTAACTCCTCTTCTTCTCTATTTCTCGACAATTTTCACAGACCCAAACGTCGTTTTGGCACGCGTAGCAGTCAGCATCTTGCGACTACCAATACTAGCGCTAGCACACCAACGGCCGCAATTCCTAATTCCAACATGGCAAACATTTTTAACAAATCAAATTCCACAACTGGTGTACTTGTGGAGCAGCCACTTCCTGCGCTGCATCCACTTCCTCCGCATCCGCCGCTTGCTGTGGTCAAAAAGAAAAACATTTCATTAAACTCGCTACCAAATGTGGTTGAGGGTGTCGCCTTGGGTTCGAATATGCCTTCGCCAACGGCCGCGTCATTGCCCATGGAACATCAATCGAAATCGAATGGTGCCAGTGTGCACAATTTGGCGGACACGATAGATAGTAAAACAATTATCACAGAGGATGAACCGACTACGGAGTGGATACCGGAAATTCCATTTAAAAACGTAGGTGGTCAGTCAAAACAAACTAAACAATATTTTCCCAGACGAAGTTTGCAGTGCAGTGCAATGCAGTGCTCTGCTTTAATTGCAAAATTTAATTAAAAAATGTTTTACTATTAATTAAATGCACTTCACGGCGTACATTGACAACTGCCATCATCCAATTTTCTATATTTAGTTCCAAGCAAATTGATTGATGCATTTTTTATTCTGCTAATGTACTTTTAATAATTTTTAACATAATTTTCATGTCTTTTCATGTTTTTGCCAATCAGTTGAACTCACCGGAAGAAGGACTGAACCGTACTGATTCCATGTTAGGAGATGTAAAACAGGATCATCGTATATCTGTCACTGGATTGGATGAAGAGGTTAGAAATTCAATATGCTTGATTCAATCAGTAAAATAAATAATTATATAAATATTATTAATTAAAATCAATTAATATGGTGTATCAAAATATATTAAAAATTAATTATTGTTTCTTACTTTCCCTAATGAGCTTTAGACGTATTCCACAAAATGTACATAAGGTAGGGTATATAGGTAGGCCGAAAAGTGTACATAAGGTTTGTCATGATGTTTACAATACATTGTAGAAAACGGTGTAGAACCCAAAAAAGTATATATATTCTTGACCCATTTAACATGTTGAGTTCCTTAAGCCTTCTCCATCTGCCGTCTGTCTGTCACAGTTCAAACAATTTCCTCCGTTTTTGAGCTATTTAACTGTAACTTTTCACATATACTTTTCGGAATGTAATCTGTATAGTAAAACACGTATAAGGGCTGCCGTTAATAAAATAATAATAATAAAATAAAATTAATAATAATAATAATTTTAAAAATAAAACACATATAACCGCTGTTTAAGAAACAAGTTTTTCTCAAAAACCTTTAAATTTTTAATGTATTCGTTTTTAAATTAGAATTTTAGTATATGGTATATAATTCCCTTAATTGTGGTAAAAATAATATCAATCGGTTCAGATTTGGTTGCTTTACAAAGTGATACTTCTGATACATCTTTTTCTCCATTATGTGTACTACTGTGTACCAAAAGCTCATTCATATTTAATTCAATATCCAATGAAATATAAGCGTGACCCAAAAATTTTGAACTGCAAATATCGTGATACCAGAAATTCCTTTCCAAAACAAAATGGAAAGATTGCTAGAAAGCAATGGCCTAGATTTTACAGGAATTAAACGAAAATCATTTTGAGCTTCAGAAAACCTGCTGTACGGGTACTTACTAGACTACTAATGGACACTGTGTCTATGCGTCGATGCTTCAATGGTGGCAAAGTTCAACAAATGGTTGATGCAGGAGTTGCCATTCTGAAGAACAGATATAATCCATCATTTACTTTCAATAGAGTGACTTTAATGTCCTGGAGAATTTTTCATTACAGTTCTAGCAGACATGACGAAAGTGAACTCGTCGAATCCCCTTAGCTTTATCAGGAAGATTAAAATAATTTATAAGGGCAATATACAAAGATAATAAGAGTTAGTGTATCACTCTTCCAGCGACGTTTGTATCACAATGGGTAATAGATTTCTGTGAGTGGTAGTGATGTTCGTTGTTGAGAGAGCATTATTATAGTACCCTCTCCACCAAACGTGTCCTATGAATACAAAGTTATTTCATAATGTCAAAAAAGTTGGAATTGTTATTGAATTATGATTCATCAGGCAATGATAGTTTTTCTGTAACGGTAATTTATATGAACCAGATACATCATTTGAATGTCAAGCCAGTAATGCTTCTAATAATAAATCTCAGGCAAATGAAATCATACTTAATCACTTAGACTAAGTTTTATTTAATCACTTTGGTTATAGGAGTAATGAAATATAGTGATATAATAATATTTTTAATAATTTTTTTATACAGTAACTTATTGTTTTTATTTTGTATTAATTTTTAACAACTTTTTCATCCAACCATCGGCTTTTTATAAAAAATCAAATTACGTATTAAAATATAATTCAGACGAAATTTAAATACCAGGAAATTACGAAAGATTTAATATTACCAAATTTAATAAAAACAAATAAGTACTCGTATTATTAATTTGTTCTATTTACATTTATTAAAGAATAAATTTTTTTTTCATATTGCAACATTTTCCTGAAATTTCCAAATTTTCTACAATTGATTATCAGATAAACAATTGAAATGAAATTGAAATGGAAATTAAAATTAAAATGTTTATCTTTTTCTTATAAACAAATATTGTTTTATTAAATTTTATTTTTTTATAGATCGATGAATTTATTGAACAAAATATACAAATAAATTCCAACAAGGAAATAAGGCGTGAGTACCTCAATACATGGACTTTGAAGTTCAAAGATAAATGTCAAGAGCAGAAATTCTGTCAATTAAGGGAAGACATGTTTCGGTAAGGCAATTAACCACATAATTTAATTTTTTAAAAATTAATTTAAAAAAATTTAAAAAAATTTAAAAGTATATAAACAACATCAAGTGAATTAAAAGTATTAAATCAGTTCCTCATACTCTTCACAGTTCGAATATGTTGTGTGTGTTCATAATCTGGATTTTTATTGTGCTCTGCCAAGTGATCATTACGCCGCGCTGCACGAAACTCATCATTTACCTTTCCGTTGGTACAGTGATACTGACTTGCTGCTGTGTTTTAGTAATGGCTGAAGAGTTTTCAGGTAAAACTTAATAATTATACTTCTTCTTAATGAAAAAATTAATTACTTTTTACCCATTATTTACAATGCCTCTTCTTTTCACTCACAGGTTTACCGGACTTCCTCAAAAGAAATTCTGCAAAATTGGTGCATCAAAGAAATCGTCGTACATACTTCATATGCTCCGTCATCATACTAATGTCAGTGTTAAGCGCAGTTGGTTTACTCATATGTCCATCATCAACTTACTATGACGGCACAGATAGTACAGCCTTCGGTATACCCACCATAGTCACTACGAATGCCATGAGCGCTTATGCACCAAACACCACAGCACCTATCATCAATTCAAATGAGAAGGAAATCAAATTAAATGTTTACTTATCGGCCACAATTCATCACAACATCACCATTAATACACCGAATGGTGCCATTGTCGATACAATTATCACTGATAATTTCACTGCGGCACCAGCGGGTGAACTTGTACGCAAAAGTATTGTGAATGTTTTCAATTTAACCCAAGCTCCGCTAAGTATTCTAAATGGCTCAGTGGAGTCCTTCGAGAACTCACATCGTTCGTTGGTAATTGCTAATCCAAAGGAAAACACTTATATGAATTCCTCATTCGCGTATGCTGATGTTGGTACTGATGATAATCTCGTGGATTGCGCACATCCCGAATACATTGTCTTCACTTGGGTACTGTGTTTGGTGTCATTAGCTACTGCGCTAAAACTTTATTACTTGGTTAAGACCATTATGGCGCTGTGCATGGTGGCGTTTTATACCAATCTAATTGTACTTATGTTTCCACATATCTATTCCGAGGCTGAAGCTGCAATTATTGAACAATCTCGACTCGGTATGCCGCTCGGTGTGCAGATGTTAATTTTATTGGCTTCATTTTTGGTAATGGTTTGCTATCACGCGCGCTTAGTGGAGGTGAGTAAATGTTTCCTTATCGATTTTTTAATTTATAGATGACCTATTTTTAAGTTAAAATTTGTGGCTAAAAATAATTTTATATGTCAAAATTATTTTTAAATTTGGTGTTGACCTTATTTTTGCATTGATGTTTTTGCTAACATTTATGTACCAAATATTTTTATTATCTCAAATTAAATTATTAACAAAATTGCAGTCGTGTGAAATCTATAAATTATACTCTGATAACATTTACTTATTTATATAAAAGCACTGACCAGAAAAATTTTAATAAATAATTAAATTTAAAATGTTCAAAAAAACATTAGTCAATTCAAATAAATATGACGCATATTAAAAATTTATTAAATACGTTCGTATTTAATCTAAATATAAGCACATTTAAAAATAGTAATAAATTATGTAATATTTAACAAAACTTTTTATAAAACTATAAATTATAATAAAACCTTCAAGCAAATTAACAAAACTCCAGAAAAATGTGCGAACATAAAAGTCAAATAGGGCTTTGGGTCAGTTGACTAAGGAGCGCCGACACTGAGCTTCAAATTTGACAGGGCACGAGTTCGATTCCTGGTACTTGCAGTCTCAAAAAATTATTTAGGAATAATTAAATACAAGAATTTTTTCCAAGACTACTGATGAGGGGTATTTGACACTACTCAAAACAGCTGTATGGTCAACCAAAAATTGAATTTAAAATAACATAAAATTCAATTTTTGTTGCTGTAGTTGACTATTTTTCAAAACATTCTGTATATTTTTTAATTAATAATAATATAATACAAAATTAATTGCAAAAACGGAATAAGCATTTTTTAAATTTAAAACATTTTTTAATATTTTTTTGAAAAGATTTCGAATAGTACTAAAATACAACGACAATAATTTTTATTTATTTTTTGAATTAATTTAATTTTTAGCTGACTCTTCAGCTTTTGTTAGTATTGTCTACCTACCTATCATCAGTAGTCTTGGAATTATTTATCATATTTAATTATTTGCAAAAAATTTTTTGAAAGAGCATAGATTTTCCCTAGTGCCAAAAAACAATTTTTCTATTTTATCTACCTCCCCCTTTCCTTTTTACCCCTCGTAGTAAACCTTGCTACATCACTGCTAACTTAGAAAATAGTGAAAAGAGAAGAAAAGAATGACCTATGGAAAAGTTTAAGCTTCAATGTGAAATTGATGGTCAAAAGTAAAGCATATTTTGAGGCAAAAAATAAATTCTTCTACAAAAAATACAACAAAATGTTAGAAAAGCTTTGGAATGGATGTTCCCCTACCACTCTCGAAGGAGACTGAGTCTCTGAGGTTATTTTACGTAGAATTCTATGCCATGTCGACTTAAAACCACGGTATTCTCAAACACATTTATCAAAATACGCTCCATTCGAATTCCAAAAAATTCCGCCGATACCAATTGAAGTTATGTGTTTGGCATAACTTCCTCCTTGGCAAGGAGCGAGGCCCACACAACCTTTGCTGATCTTTGGGTCATAGCAGCACGCCGAATGAAAGTAAATATATAATTATGCCAAACACATAACTTCCTCCTTGGCAAGGAGCGAGTTCCATACAACCATTGCTGATCTTTGGCTCATAGCAGCACGGCGAATGAATGTAAATATATGCAATAATTATTCCCGCGTAAATTTGGGCCTTAACCACTGCTACCTCAATTGGTCTGCACAGCTGAAGCTAAGAGCACCACCGATCGGGTGAAGAGAGTGAAAGCTCTCTTACTACCATTTACACTGCAAACAGTACTGGATGGTTACGACAGCCATGCCTTGTCTCGGCAATATTTTAACCCCTTAGCCGCAGGGGGTCTTAGAGGTACGTAGCTAAATAAAATCATGCGACGTATTGCAGTCTGAATTACTTCCCCATCAAACCTTTTCTTTATATATAGTTCTATTACTAAGATTCTTGACTCCTATGTTAAGTGGAGCATAGAGACTTTTCTTCATATATATAACTACCAGTAAAAGTTTTTGTTATATCCTTCTATGATTGAAATATAAATGCAACTCTGGCTGGCATCCATAATGGAATGACAGTTAACGTAGGAAAATATATATAGATATGTATATAGTTTGATGTTATAGTTTGTATTAAGTGAACAATAAAATAGACACAATAGTTACGCAGTACCGTATATAGGGGTGTAGGGAGTTGAGGTGTTAAATATCCCCATTAACCGAATATAGGGGTACCATAAATTTGTCTAAAATAAAGTTTTAGATAACAACTTTTAGGTCTTATGCTAGTTATACTACGAACTTTTATAATTATATTAAAAATACTCAAAAGAAAAAAAATAAGAATTAAATTTACTATGAATACAAAATAAATTATTTTTCAATTAATTACCTTAGAAATAATAGCATGACAAGACTTATTTCATTTAAAATACAAATATTGCAATTAACTCAATAAATATTACTTCATTTCAAGAGACAAACAAAAACACAAAATTAATTATTTCCCAACGCCTCCACTTTTCACAGGTTACATCACGTTTGGACTTTATTTGGAAGGAGCAAGCTGAAAGAGAACTAACAAATATGAAATCCAATCGAGCGCTAAATGATACATTAATTAAGGTATGGAAGAAAAAACATTATTAATTAAATAGAACCCAACTAAACACATATCCAATTACATCAAACACAGAATATATTGCCAGATCATGTGGCTGCCTACTATTTGTCAGACGAACACACCGACGAACTATACTCCAAAATGCACAACTTGTGCGGCGTTATGTTCGCTTCCATACCCAATTTTCAGGATTTCTATTCCGAGGACATTGACAACGGAAAAGCCTGCATACGCATTCTAAATGAAATTATATGTGCGTATATTCTTATTCTGTTTCAAATGGCATGAAATCAATTTGTAACTTAATTATTTTGCATTATTCACGCAGGTGATTTCGATGAGCTACTGGAGGAGCCGCGTTTCGCTTCAATCGAAAAGATAAAAACAGTGGGTGCCACTTATATGGCAGCCGCAGGACTTAATGCCCAGCATTTGAGTGCACGCGGTGAAACTTCTGAGGATAGCGTTTGTGATTTAATCGAATTTGCATTTGCGATGAAACAGAAACTCGAAGAGATCAATAAAGAGGCTTTTAACAATTTTCAATTGCGTGTGGGTATTTGTAGTGGACCACTGGTGAGCGGTGTTATTGGTGCACGCAAGCCGGTCTATGATATATGGGGCAATACAGTGAATGTGGCGTCGCGTATGGATTCAACTGGTGAAAATTGGCGTATACAAGTACCAGCGAATACAGCGGATTTGCTTAAATCGAAAGGTTACACATGTGTGGTAAGTGAAAGTAACGGCCATCTGATATAGACTGTGATATGGCGAATAGTAATGACAATTTTTTACTCTTCTTGGTAGTGACATGTTATTACAGAGAGTCATATAAAAATTTATCAATTTCGAGCTTTTATTACTATTTTGATACTTTTTGGTTGTGCCGAAATATAAAACGCAAAATTTCCTGCGAAGAAAACTACACAAAAATAGTTACTTCCTTTACTCCTAAGTGGAGCATAGGGCTTCAAAACGCAAATATGCAAATTCTGACATTTATGATGAATATTGTTTTGTCCCTGGTATCCATAGCCAGTACTTCGGCTCAAGTGAGCTCTAAACACAAAGCCACCACTCCAACGTAACCTTGTCTAATACTCTTTTGACCATTCTGACGAAGAACAGTAAATTTTTTTATCGTGAACGTGATTTCTCGTTTTCTCAATTTTCTAATTTGGATTGAAAATAAGAATACCTTCAAATTTGTCGTGACCATAACTGTCTGCATAACATGGTACCCTAAGAAAATGGGAAGGTGCCATTGGTATATTAGTTAGTAGATATGACTAACAAAATTGACAACACAATATGAATTGTATTGCCAATTATTCTGTACGTGTATGGAAGTTCCAAATCTGTTTACTGGAGTGAACTAGAAAAACATATGACCAATTATTTTTAGTTCAAATGTTTTATTTAATTTTTTCATTAAATTTTTTCTCTAATACTTTTTAAAATATATATACGATAATAGATAGTATCGCAACAGGTCATCATTTATTGACAACTGAGCTTTAGTATACAAGACCATCAAATATAGGACCACCTTAATAAAGATGAAATTTATGTTTTCCTTGTAAAAAACTTTTAATCAAAAAATAATAGATAAAAATTTCTCAAATTCAAAACATAACTAGAGTATTTCTTACCTCTTATAAATTTATTTTAAAATAAAGATATGAATTCCATATGATTTTCATTTCAAATCTATTTCAGAAACGAGGAGAGATAAATGTTAAAGGTAAAGGTTTAATGACCACATATTTCGTGCATCCAAAAGGAGTTACGGAGAGCCAATTAACTTCACCTGTACGTATGCCAGCAGGCATGCCAATTGCACAGACACCAAACTTGCAACGACAAACTTCTCATCATGGTTCCTTTAGTGCTGTGGTCTTTGGCATGTTACAGGCATCGAAACGATGTACAACAGTGGCGGGCACACGTAATAAAATAATTTATATTAAATAATATTGAAATTGAAATAATAATAAGTTAATAATCTTTGCTTCCAGCAACTGGTACACCCTCTCCGCAAATACGTGGTCGTCGTGGCAGCACTTTCAGTTCGGTACGACTATCTCAAAAATCGATTACGAATAATCCAGTGCGACGGAATACAACACGCGTGAGAGCGCGTTCTTATAGACAAAAGAAGGTATGGATTTGTTTAGAAATTTAAAATAGATTATTTTTAATATATATCTTTTTTTGTGGTTATTCTAGAGCTCCTCAAACAATTCTATTGTAACGCAGACGAGTGGTTCCTTTTTACCTTCGTTCAGACGCATCGATCAAATTGAAACCGCCATCTCGAAGAGTCACAATGATGCTTTATAGCCAACGCGCAATTGGGTTTAAATTTAAGACCAATATTTTAAATAAAAGCCAAAAGTTTTTTATTATATCTACAGTTAATTAATTTTATTTATATTATTATGAATATAAAAATAGTATATAATAATATATGTAATATTTTTATTTAAAATAAGTCTTTAAAATTTCCATAAAAGGCATTTATTTTTCGAACTAAGCTTTTAAATGTTGACATATTTAGTACTTAAAGAATTCAATGTTCAATTATATATATGTAAATGTATTTATTAATATTAACTACGGACAAAATTTATAGCTTTAATCTTTAAATCTCTCACAATCACAAACAAAACCAAATTCTTTAAAGTTTGTATTTATTTATCTGAAATTATTAATAATAGTCTAAGGAGAAGAAATTTTAATCTAGTCGATAGTTTAAGAGTATGTTAAGGAAATTTATTTATTTATTTATCAATATGAAAGAATGTATTTAAAATACGAACTATGTAAGTAAAATTTAATGTATTTTATATATATATTGAATGTAACATAGTATTTTAGTTATACTATATATTAATATATAAGTTAATCAATAAATGCATTTTAAAACTCTTAAGATTACTGATTATTTTATAAAATGGTGTTAAAAAGATTCACCACAGTTAGGTGAGTATACAAATGACCCAATTTTCAATCAGAGTTGACTTTAAATTTTTTTTATGTCAATAATACGTTCGCACTATAGTAATTAACTAGATAAATGTGTAGCAATATGCATGATTTTTCATACAAAATCCATGCAGAAATATTTTTATCAGGTTCAATCAATTTGAGTTTAATATAGTATAAATTTACATAAATAAATACAAATTAATGACTAATGATAAAATATATATTTATATGTTTGTATAAATAATTTTCAATTACTGATTTGAATTTGTTAGTAGGTAACAGGTCCCTTTGGTCCATTGCATTTTAATACTATTTGTTCATATGTATTTATGAATATAATAATTTATACAAAACTTTATATTTTATTTAATTTTATTTTTTAAATGCATTGTCTTATATAATGTAAGTATTAGTCTTTACTCGTTTCTCCCATAATTTTTTTTCAAGATTAGTATGCTTCATAATCAACCAAAAGGAAACAATATATATATTATATATAATATAATATATCTTATTAAGTTCAAACTATTTAAAACAATAATTAAGCCTACTCAATATTTATTAAAAATAAATCTAATACTTTAATGTTTTTATATATGCCAAGCCACAAAAAATTGGCGCGTTTATTTTAAATAAAATTCAACAGCACTGGAACGTCAGAGTGTGTTCGGAAAGTAAATTCCAATTTTCTATTCCATTCTCTGTCTGTTTCCATTGATATTCTGAATATTTTTCACGTCCTTCTTTTCTATTCGTTTTCGCAGACATGCTTTGCTGCTTTGCTTCGGCGATAAAGAGCAAATGAAAATTACTAAATTCAGTTTCTATTTAGCCGTCGATGTGTTAAGTTCGTATGGTTTTGTGTTAGTGTAATTTTTTGAAAATAAATATATATTTTATATTAAAGAATAATAAATAAGTAACTACATAATAATTGTTAAAATTAATATAAAAATCTCTGAAAAATATTCTAATTCATTTATCCGATGTAAACAATATACGTAGTAAAAAAAACTTGATTGTAAAAACCCAAAAATTTATGAATGAATAGTAATTTCCGCTTGTACTTGTCTAACCCCGCACACCTGCTCGAGTGTCTATAAATAAAACTTGAATGAAAAACGTGAAGTAAAAAATTCCCATGGATTTTGTGTGTATGGCATTTACAAAAACAAAATTTCATTAAAAGGATAATTTCCCAATAATTTCAGTATCATTTTGTTTCAAAATTAATGTCCTTACATTTTTAAATAATATCGATATAAAAATATATATAATAAAATAATTTTGTTGACTTAAACCAAAAAACAAAATGTTTAAATAATATCAACAATTAAATATATGCACGTATTATTCATAGCGGAGAAAGCGGAAAAATAAAACTAAAAAAACCGTGAAAATTACTTGCGCTAAAAACTTCTGTCGGCATATGTATAATTTTAATAAACAATATTATTTAAAAAATATTTTATTATGTTGTATGAAGCATTTAAATTAAACTTTAATTCATGAAAAAAATGAAATATATATGTGAATATAATTTAGTGCAACAGAATTTTTATAAATTGGCAACACTTTAGTAAGAAGTTTAAACTAAAACAAAACTAAGAAGTAACAAACTGAAAATGCACCTGAAAAAGAAACGTTTTATTTACGAGGAAAGAGATAGCCCTACAACTCCTACGGACAGTGTTAGCTTTAGTTATGGAACCAACATGGCCGATAATACACGCGAAGTACGAATAGAAGAGCAATTAAAAGTGAAAATTGGTATGTAAAAACGTGTAAAATGTAATAAAATATATTTAAAAACGCGTAATTAATATTAATGCAATAATTTGCAATGAATTTTAATATATTTGTGTAATAAAAAGTTCATAAAAACTGTGTTGGAATGTGATTGCGTTGAAGCGTTTAGAATGCGCGTTCCGCGGCAATTGAAAATGGAACACACTCGTTGCTTGTTTTTAAAAATTGAAGTTATTTAACTAAAATCTACATTAAGAAAACTATATTTTAATATTTACTTAAAAGAAATTTAAATAATAAATATAATTTAAGTTGTGAAGTAATCTTTAAATTATTGTTAATAATTTTGTGTTGCACAAAAATTGCGGCGATAAATACAAATATAGTTGCACTAGTCTCCCTTGTTTGTTGACATATAGCACGTTTTCCCTTGCACTTGTGTAGATTTAATTTGCTTGTTTTATTTTATAAAAATGCACAAATTTTTAATAAAATTAAAACAAATTGTGTTAATTGAATTTTAACTGTACTATAAATTTGATAAGAGTAAATAATTAACAAAATTGAAATTTAATGTGTTAAAATAATTAGTGAAAATTGTTGGACGCTTACTTAATACATGTTTGCATTTGCCCATGTACATTATTTGTTTTGCTTTGTATTTGGTTGGTTTTAATGTTGTTGAAACATTTTGATATTGAAACGACAGCAAAATTCCAATACAGCTGCAATATATCAATTTTAAAATTTCCCTTTACGCTTCCCTTTATGAATGAATTTTTGGTTAGAAATGTGTGGTTGTGCGTTTATATATGTAAATTGGTGTATAATTTCATGAATGGAATTCGGGAAATAAAACACCAAAAGTTTACTTTTTTTGTCGTTTAGGTTTATTTATATAAATATATATCTTTCTTTTTTTTTTGGTGTGAAGTAGTGCGTTTTGTTTTTTTTTTGAGTTTGATTAAAAGTATTTTGGTTTGCATATTAAAAGTGACTTTTATTTTTGTGTTTCTATTTTCTAAAATTGGGGTTAAATTGACACTAAATTTATGAATGATTTTGGTTTGTGTAGAAAATTGATATTAAAGAATTTAAAAAACCTTTATATATATTTTTTTATTAAAAAATGTGATGAATTTGAGCAAATATTTTAATTTCTATTTTGTAAATTATTTAAAAAAAATTTTGTTTTAGATAAAAATTGATTGATTACAGAGCGGGAATATAATTTTATTATTTGTAATTAAGTTTATTTTTAATTTTTTTTTTTTTTTGAGGTTTTTAGAACTCAAAACCTTGAGCTACAAATATATTTGAAAATTTATAAAATTTGGTTAGTTTATTATATCGCTCTATTAATATCGAAATTATTAATAATAATATGTGCAGCAAAAAAAGTAAAAGTATTGTAAGTAATAAGTCAAAAATATTAAATGCTAAAAAATTAAAAATAAATTGTGTCATCTTAGTTTTCTTAAGAACTAAATACAAACATATAATTACATTAAATAAATAATTTTCCAAGAACCCAGGATTAGTTCAAATCTGAAGTATAGATTACTTTCTTGCTGTTTGTACTATTTATTATAGAGAAGTGATGAATTCTCTGATCTATATATGTTAAATATACAACGGTTCAGTTAAACATTATCAACAGGTCTACTTATCTTCAGATGATACATATTGTACTTCCGTCTAGGTTCTGTTTTAATTGGATCAGATTTGATTTAAGTAGTAACTGCCCCTAGATTCCTTCTACGCTGCATATAACAACGCAAATGGGCTTTGGTGTACAAGGTCGCCTCTCTAACCTAACCTTCCACATAGGTACATATCATATCTAACTTAAACCCGTCATTAAAATAGAAACAACTGTTTAATATTTTAAACTCAATAGTTTTTTTTAATTAAATATATTATATTATATTTAGTGAAGACAAATGATAATTTAGTCAATGAAATGTCATGCTAAGGAAATGTAATCCTGCATAGTTTTTATCCATTTTCGCAAAAGAGCTTTCTTGCGTCCATCAAAGGTGTAATTCTTTTTACTACTTACCTTGAAAAACTGTTAAATGACACGTAAACTATAGCTTTAAGTCCATCGACAAACAAGCCTTACGATACGAGAATGTAAAACTGCAAAATGTTTATCGATTCACGTAGACAGACTTTCTTGAGCACATTAACCCTCTGGTATTTTTTTAGTGCTAATCTTACTTTGCGAAATGACCCATATCTGTCTAAATGAAATATTTATTTTGTCAAAGCTTCAAATTATATTTTAAAATTTATTTCGTTGTAGACATTTCCAATGTTCAAAAAATATTAACGGAAAGCATTCATAGATCATAGTCGTTGGGACCATTATAAACGATTGTACATGACTTCTTGTAACTATTTGAATTTCGTAATTTTCGTATGACTCTTCTATTCCACTTTTTTAAGTAAAATCAATCATTTTACTATTTAAAAATTACTAAATTGCGAAATTTTTCACTCCAAAGGAGGGCAATTTTCATGTTCGTACAACATTCATCCATTTGAGGCTAGTTTTTATTCTGAACACCGGTGAAATCTTATCTTTATACTTCCACTGTGCCTCGAATTTCATTCAATTTCATTCTTTACTATCTGAACCACTTCTACCGTTGATGCTATGTTTTCCGACTACTCGCATAACGTTTTTTAATACTACTAGTTATGGTACAATATGTTCTGAAAAATTGAGTAACTATTAGGTAGATATTCGGTTTGAGGTACTAAAGCGGCATCACTTAAAATTCAAATAAATGTCATTTTAGTGATAAATCAGAATAAAATCAACATAAACAAAATGTTGCACTTATATGCAGCTTTTAGGCACTATCTTTTAAATTGTGTATAAATAGTATACAAAATCAGAATGCTTAGTGCAAACAGTATAGTTATACATGAAATTAATATATAAATACCTGTATTCATATTTATTTCTTGATGCATTTCCTTATTATACATGTTAGTGATTATTTAGAAATCCACTTGTTGCTAATTCTCCCGCAGAAAATCTGACATTTAATCAATTATATTTTGGATTGAATAGGATTAATGAAACTTTACTTCCTCTTTACCAACTAACAAGGCTTTTTTTTCTTTTTCTGAAAACCCCTTTTTAGCATCTATTATTATTATTATTTGAAAAGGGGTAGTGCACTAAGACCTATTGTGTCCCTCTTTGGCATTTACAGCATAATATATTATATATTTATTGTTAAATACTTATTTTATTAATTTTAATTAAGTTTAAGGTTGAAAATGAAAAATTTTTCTCTTATCCAAAATTTCACATGAAAACACCAAAACTCCAACAGTCAAAATTTTGAGGTTTTATTTCCTCAATAAAAAAACATCAGATATACTTACACATAACCGCAATATACAACATATGATATGTATAGTCGATTATATATAGTATGTATATATTTATATATACAGTTACGTACAGAATTACTATATTTATTGTAGCATAACTGTATATATTTCCTTTATATAGGAGAGACCTCACCAAAAGGGTTGTTGTGTTGCGTTGCGTTGTATTGGCCTCATTTGCCCAAAAGATAAAGCTGAATATCACACCTGCTGGTTTGTGTGTTCGTTCCCCTTCCCAAGGCACATATTCATTCGCCTGAACCCTGATAAATTATTTTATTTCACTTTATCTCATGTTAAAACACACTTTGCCTTCATTTGTTAAATATTTCTCAAACAAACAACAAACAAGCTTTGTTCGTATGTAAATTGAATATGAAATGCAAAGCACTGAGCACATTTGCAATATTTTTTTTTTTTATTTTCTGGTTGCTTAAGACTTTGTTATGAATTTTTCTCATATGCAGGCAAATCCCACTTTTGCAGTTGTGTCCATAATTTTATGCAAAGGTAACAATTTAATTTTTATACATACATTTTTTTTTCTTTTCATTTTTTTTTTGTTTTTTGCTGATGACTTTGATTTCCGTTTCCCATCGCATGATTTTCCTTTCCACACAAAATAAGCAAACAACGACAACAGCAATAACAGAAAGGAAAGAAGAAAAAAATTTTAAGTCGACTTTTGCTTTTTTTTAAGCTTCTACTTTGGCATTTTGCACGCTTGACTTCTTCGTTGAGTATTTGCCGTGTTTATTGTTTGTCTCGTCTTCCTAAGACTTTCGTAAACAATTTTTTTCTTTTAACTTTATTTTAAATAATTTTCTTTTTTATTTTTTTGAATAAACCTACTTTTTTTAATAATCTTCATTTTTTTTAAATATTTTATTTTATTTTAATAATTCTTTTTTTTTTATAACTTTACTTTTTTTGAATTATCTTACTTTTTTATGAGTTCACATTTTTTTTTAAATCCTAATGTTTTAATAATTTTACGTTTTTTAAGAATTTTTCTTTTTTTTTTTAATAATTTTATTTTTTTTAAAATAATTTTACTTCTTTTTGTAATAAATTTTACTTTAGTTTACTTTTTTTTAATAATATTACTTCTTTTTATAATTTGAATTTTCTTTGAATATTTTCTCATTTTTAATAATCCTAATATAGCATTTAATTTTTTTATAATATTACTTTTTTTTTCGTTAATACTATTTTGTTTTATTAATCTTAATTTTTTTAAAAATCTTTTTCTATAAATCTATAAAAATTCTATAAAAATCTTTTTCTGTAATAATTTTATTTGTTTTAAAATATTTTATTTTCCATTTTTTCGTAAAATCTACTTTTTTCAATAATCATTTATTTTTAATAATCTTATTTTTTTTACTAATCTTATATTTTTTTTAAATCATATTTTTATTAATTTTGATTCTCTTTCATAATTTCAATTTTTTTTAATTAATAATTTTAGTTTATTTTTATTAATTTTTGATTTTTTAATAATTCGAATTTTTTGTAATAATCTTACGTTTGATCATTACTCGTATATTTTTTAATCTTACTTTTTTTAATAATGTTATTTTATTTTAACAATTCTCCTTTTTTAAATA